ACTCTGATCTACTGATCAAGTCCTCCTGTCCGATGAGCAGCATTTCTGAGTGAAGATATGGGGCATGTTGAGTGGAAGGGGCCTGGCTAGCTTACTGAAGCCAATTTCTCCTCATCCTGTTGCCTCCTGTATTCTGGAGACCACACGGCTGGTGCTGTTAAGTCTGGGGTTCTGTGGAGATGGGGAGGGCATGTCACTTCCAGGCCCAGAAGATTAGGCAATGCATTAAGCCCTCTGTTTTGGGAGAGGAGGAACGAGGTTGTCTCAATTCTTTTCTGAGTATTTCCAGCTCACCTCTTTCTTAGCGGTGATCTCTTGTTAATTATCAGAGGCCCTTCCTGATGGCAAGAGGGGAGAATGAGGGGTTCTTCCAGATTACTGATTAATTAAAAGAAATACTTAGGTTGAATAATCAGGAGGAAGAATAGCCTCATCATCCATCTGCAGACAGACTCAGAGCTGACTGCAATGGCCTGGCAGCGACACTGGGAAACCCAGATGGATGACAGTGTTAGCACCCAGGCCTTCCCTAGTGCCTGTGACTGACCGATGATGCCTCCCAGGCCAGCGATGACTCTGTCACCACCTTGCCTGCGTGTACTCATGTCCAGTTCCCTAATCAAGCCTGAGGAGTTGTCAGGCCTTCAGAGAGATGCTACAATGTATCCAGCCTGCCACGCCAAAAATAAGGAAGCATGTTGCCTCTGGCCAGTGTTGATCAGGTTGGATGAGGAGGCCAGGCAGAGCTGGGCCAGGACAGGGCTGTGTGTGGGCACCAGGAGGAATGGAGAAGCCTGCTTGCACTGGCCTCTGTGGTGGGGGAGAGGCCCCTTGTAAATAATGCTTTGAGAGAAGCTGGGTGTCACCTCCTGGGGCTTTTATGTGGCCTGCAGACATGCTGAGCAGTGGGTTTGAAGTGCATATCCTGACTGGATAGTGCCATGGACATGCCAAAGGCTGTCTCATCCTTTTGGAGGATGTAAGAGAAAGTGAAAGGAAGCAGATTGCCTTTGCATGAGGCCATATGGAAGGTATATTCATTTCCTAGTGCTACTGTAACAAAGTGACACTAACTGGGTGGCTTATAGGAACAGAAATTTGTTGTCCCACAGTCAGTTCTGGAGGCCAGGAGTCTGAGATCAGGGTGGCAGTTGTGTTGATTTCTTCCAAGGGCCTCTCTCTTAGCTTCTGGTGACAGCCAGCAATCCTTGGCATTCTGTGACAAGCATACGTGTCACTCCACATCTCTGCCTCTGTCTTCACATGGCCATCTTCCCTCGGTGTCTCTTTTCTTCTTTTATAAGGACACCATTCCTATTAGATTAGGACCCAGCCTACTCCAGTATGACCTCATGTTAATTTAACTGATAACATTTTCAGAGATCCTACTTCCAAACAAGGTCACCTTCATAGGCACCGAGGGTTAGGACTTCAACAGATCTTTATGGGGACACAGTTCAATCCATAGCAGACGGTGCTGCAACATCCACTTCTCTGAATTCTCTTTCTCTAAAGGCAACACATTGAGGCATGGAGGTTGGTGTTTGAAGACTTTTTATCTTAAAGTGCTTCCAGATCAAGGTCATTTCAAACACTAGATGCAATGGCAACTGAGTTCTCCAACTCCTCTTTTTAGTCATTGTAACTGACAGGCAACCTGGCTCCCTCTCCCCCAGCCCTCTGCTGTGACAGAACAGAGAAGAACAGCATGTATTAGCAGCAACTCAAGCCAGGGACTGAGGAATTTTTGTATAGAACAAACTAAATTAACTCATGTATTGAGTAAGCATATACCCCAGATTCCTTCTGTCCCTCTAAATATGTAGCATTCAACTGTCTTTTCACCATTGACTCAGCAATTAATCACCTACTGGCTTTACTGTTGTTATCTCAGTTCCTAGTTCTGTCTTCCTGTTTAACTATTCAACGTGATTCAACTTTTGTAAATATTTGACGTATCTACTCAAATGGGCTGTAGGCTACTCAAGGGGCAATATCCTGTGGTTGTTGTTAGTTGCCATCAAGTTGGCTCTGACTCATGGCAGCCTTATGTAGACCAGAACATTGCCTGGTCCTGCATCATCTTCATGATCATTGGCATGCTTGAGTCCATTGTGGATATTGTGTCAATCCATCTCATTGAGAGTTTCCTTTGTTTTCATTGGCCCTCTACTTTACCAAACATAATGTCCTGTTTGAGTGATTGGTCTTTCCTGATGACATGGCCAAAGTAAGTGAGTCAAAGTCTCGCCATTCTCACTTCTACAGAGCATTCTAGTTCTCTTTCTTCTGAGACTGGTTTGTTCATTCTTCCAGTAGTCAATGGTATATATTCAGTATTCTTCACCAACACCACAGTTCAAACACAAAAGTTCTTCTGTCTTCCTTTTTCGTTGTCCAACTTTTGCATGCATATGAGGCAATTGAAAAGACCACGGCTTGGCTCAGATGCACCTTACCGTTGTTTTAACACAGTATGTTAACTGTGTTCCTCTTCCCTTGGAGAAAGTTTGCTGTTGTTCAAATATAAAGTATTTTTATATTTGAGATCTCTCATAGATCCTGGAAAACCTCTTGGAGGAGGTACCTACATAAGGACTTGCTTGGGAATGTCAGTCATCCCTCCTCTGGAAGTTAGCTAACTGATATCCCAGCACTCTAGGAAGGTGAAAAAGAGTATGAACTTTGAAACAGATGAGGAAAGAGACCTACTACCAGCTGTTAGCGAAAGCTGCTGAAATCAAGATGGCCTGGGATGGTGAACAAATAACTGTGAGACTTGGCTGGAGACTCCCTAAGATTAACAAGTAAAAATCCAGGCCTCTCCCAAGAGTAAAATTCTCCTAAAAACTGACCAGATGGGTTGAGCTAAGGTTATAGAAACCTCCAGGAGATATTAAGATGACTGCAAGGAGCTCACACCACGTGAACATTTTGGAGACAGGGAAGTAGCGCCTTCCTTGCCTAGGACCATACCTAATACTGAAAATGCTTTAGAGCATAACTTCAAGGCTACTCACAGAAAATGTGAACTGGGGCCACCTATCAGAGAAAAGATTCAAGATAAGGTTCTGAGAGAGGAGGAGAATCCTTCCAAATCTAGAGTGGCACCAAAGTGAATGCAGAATTATAGAATGATTGAATTTTAGGGTGCCAAGGGACCTTTTGAGCTCTGTAATCACTTGATTTTGCAATGAGGAACTGAGACCAGGGAGATGAAGGGACTTTCCTCAAATAAATTAGGGACAGAGCTCAGGTTAGAATTATTCATTGATTCATGCATTTATCCACCAACATTTGTTGAGCACCTGATAGGTGCCAGATATGGTTCTAGACCCGGGATTCAGGCCTTCACTGACTCATAGACCAGCTCTTTTCTATCACAGTGGCTCTACCTTGATCTAAATCTGAAAAGCCTGTCTGGCATCGAACTCAAACGATGTTGAGCCGACAGATTGCCAAGATGAAAAACCGAGCTCACTCCCAGATTTGAAAGAAGATGGTAAATCAGGGAAGGGGTAGCAGAATTAATTCCCCTGATTAAATCACCAGACATGAGTACAGTTTAGCATCTTGAAAGGTTGTTATGACTCTATGTTTGTGTTGACCTTTACCCAAGACAGTTACTTTGAATACAAACTTTAAAAAAAGAGAATGTGTTCTGTACTTGTTTTGAATATATAAAGATAATTGGGAAGTTGGGGAATAGGGACAGGCGAGGGAAGAGGGAGAGGACTGGAGTGTGAGAGGACAGGAAGCAATTATGAAAAGAGGGTGGTGCCAATAGGAAAAGGGAGATTTGCCAAATGCAAGGCCTCGAGATAAGCCAGAAGTAGAACCTTCAGTGGTTCTCTAGTTTTATCTGGTAGAAGACAGTATCCCTGTCTCACTAGGTACTGAATGAGTTCAAGTCAAGACATGCCCCATTTCAGAAGGTTCTGCTGTTCCTGGGAAAGAATAACAAACTGAAGAAACATCTTAGCTTCACTAACATAAGCCTGGGAATCCTTGCCTGTGCTAATAACTGTAATACCCGATGCTCACATAGTGCTTTATACTCAACATCATTTATCTAATTAATAACTGAAATATTTTAACAAAGGTGTTATTATTCCCATTTTACAGATGAGGCAACTGAAGCTCAGGGAGATTAATGGCTTGCCTATGTCACAGAACTAATCTAGAGGAGAGCCCGATTTGAGATAGTCCTAGTCTTCTGACTCCAAATTCTGTTATTTTTCCTACCATGCTATGCTGCTTTATCTGAGAGTGCGGAAGGAATCCAGATTTAAACCTGTTTTGGGATAGCTATCTATCAAGAACATTTTGCCAGCCTTCTGGATCTGAATAAAGATGAGAAGATGCTTGGTCGGGCTGTTCCAATGTGATTTTATTTCCTTGGCTCATTGGCTTCATTTGAGTGGTTCAGGAAGCATGGAGATTTTCCTGAGTTGTGCTGACCTCATCTTTATTGGTTCAGGTTTTCTCCATGAAAAAGGAATATTCATCAGTGATGTCAGTATGATTTTCAATGGGGGAAAATTACCAAAGAAACAAGAAATAAATTGGTGTTAAAATTCACTGGAGTCCCTGGGTGGCACAAACGGTTAAGCACTCAACTACTGTCTGAAAGGTTGGCAGTGCGAACCCACCCTGGGGCACCTCGGCGATCTCCTTCCTAAAGGTCACGGTCTTGAAAACCCTATGGAGCAATTCTACTCTGCACACATGGATGGGGTCGCTACGAGTCAGAATCGACTCAACAGCAATTAACGACAACAACAACAAAACTTCACTAGGTGTTCTTGATACCTTTTATTCTAGTGAGTTTGCAGTGAGTCTGGGTCATTTGGTGACTGCTTGGGTAGTCCCAGAGCTCCTGAGGTCACTAAAGAAACGTCACAAGATGTGGGTGGTCCCTGGTCACATATTTCCAGAGGATTGCTGTCCGCCTGGGAAGGATGGACACCTGGGTGACTGTGTCTGCTTTTCCCTTTTAGAGCTGCCAACTTCAGGAACTTTACCTTCATCCAGCTGAATGGAGAATTCTCTCGGGGAAAGGGACTTGATGTCGGTGCCCGCTTCTGGAAGGGAAGCAATGTCCTCCTCTTCTTCTGTGATGTGGATATCTACTTCACCACTGAATTCCTCAATACCTGTAGGCTGAATACTCAGCCAGGTATGGTCTGTGGGGTGGCTCCTCCCTTCCCCTCTCTCCCTCAGGGAGGTGTTAGCTCTCTTACACTCACTCGTCATTCTCTTCACAGTCCATGCTCAAGTCCTACTTAATTTCCCTCAATGACAGAGAAAAGGAAAATCATCTGGTTTGATTTCTCCTTTGATGCCACATGGTGGACTTGTCAGCCACCACAGTCCTGGAACTGTTTGTTCCAAGTTTGTATGTATAACCCGTTTTCCATTTTCAGCTGGGAGGCCTGCGTTCGTGAACAAGAGGGAATATGGGGAGAGAGGGGGGAGGGGCATGCACCGGGAAAAACCACCCTAATCTAAAGAGGAAAAAAAAAGCAGCTGTGGGCAGTTACCAAGGGAGGAAGAAGGAACCCAAAATTGGAAAATTATTTTCATAACAGTAAACTGACATGGCCATGTCAGTTGTTAAAATATCGAAATTCTATATAAATGGGTAAAGAGCTACTGCCCCAGGCTCTCTACGTCTGTTCCCACCACCCAGACACCCTGGTCCCTTTCCAGCAACTTTTCAGATTGCCCCGGGACCCAGCAACTAAAGAGTTAATTCTGCCATGGCAGGGACAGCCAGGACTCCACACTTACACTCATTCCCATGGGTTGATGCTAATGGCAGAGCCACTGACTTGTAACACTTTGAATATCACTTGTGTGCTAGGAGGTCTTTGAGGCCGAAATATTTGAATGTCTGTCTGGCCTGCCTGATACAGAAGCTATAAGAGCTTGAGTTTATTTCAAGGATCTGTTTTAAGAGTCAAGTGACGGAAAAAGAAAAGTGAGTGCAAATATCTGGGATGGTTCCTAGGGTTCAGTGAAAATGAACAAACCCAGTAGTTTCATCGGTAGCTTTAAGTGAGTGTTTGTTTCCTGTTTTGCAGGGAAAAAGGTATTTTATCCAGTCCTTTTCAGTCAGTACAATCCTGGCATAATCTACGGCCATCACGACTCAATTCCACCCTTGGAGCAGCAGCTGGTGAGTAATGACCCTGCAGATGCCTGCGTATGTGTCTTCTCCTGCCTCTCATTATCAGGGGCACCTGACCGAGATAAAGGTGAGGGGGAATCTGTGGGTTGATTCCCTCCGCAGTTTCTAAGTTTCACAGACGTTATGGCCTTTGCTTCCAGCGCCTTGTTGATGGAAAGGGCTTGCAATATTTACAAGTGGAAAATAAATAGGAACCGTACCTTACACAAAGGTAATTTCACAGCTTCATAGTTTCCTTTTATGGTTCTGGAAACTAGTATTACATCTTGGAAACCAGCAGCACGTTTGCTCAGTGTGATTGGAAATAAGGTGAGATTTATGTTCCCGTTTTACAGATAGAAAATGGAGTCAGGAGGGGAGGGGCAAGGACCAGATCCAGTTTTCTGGACCTAGGCTGTCGGTACGCTTCCCGTCATGCCACAGTTCCCACCATATCACCCTGCCTCTGGGTGGACATTAGCGTCAGAGATGTCACCGATCAGATGGCTTTTAAAGTTGCTAAGATCCTGGCTGCATAATTGGTAGATAGCGGAACCACACAGCCACCAAGGACCTCTGTAAGCTGTGATGTCTCTGTCCTCGGCAGGCAGTTGGTTCATTCAGCAGAGAAGCAGGCAGGGAACAGGAGGATAATGAAAGCCAGAAGGTCTCTATACCACATGCAGGCAAGCCCCTCTGAGATGTTGCCAGCATTGACAGAGAGAGAAGACCCTTCTCCCACCCCCAACCTGGGCTGTGGTCTTTCCCTGCAGGGAGATCAGCTGGGTTTGTCTAAAGCCATGTTCTAGCTCAGGCCAGCTAACCACTCGGGTCAGGGGCTGTCTGTGCATCATTGCCTCGTGTCACTCTGCCTCCTGCTGCAGCAAAGCCTCTTAGGGTGAAGGAAGGAAATCTGCTCTGTGAAAGTGAAGATGTGATGGGACTAGGTCTTGCATGCTCCCGTGCTGAGAGAGTAAACCGACTTTCATTGAAAACAGATTCTGTGAAATTCTTCTGGAGAACCGACCAGAAGCAGTAAAACCAGTTCTCTCTATCCTCGTCCTATGCCCCCCTCCAATTAACCTCCGGCAGCTGATGTAATAACCTTTTCCAGAAGGCTTCAAGCTGGGGTTCCCTCAAGTTGGACAAGGTTTGTCCCTTGGGCTTAAGGTACCATACTAACAGTAAAGATAGTTCTCTCCTCACCAATGAAATCTTAACACCACAGATATACTGTGTATCTGTTATGTACTGTGTTTATCTGTGCTTTATAAATAAAAATAATAAGAGTTTTTAACTCCCCAAGAATCAATTTTTATCTCCTTAAGGGTGATATCACACCCTTTGAGACTCTTTCCTTTAGAGTTCTAAGCTTCTGAAAGGGATGGAGGGAAAAATGGGATACAGGAGTTATTTTCTCTCAACCAATCAAAATAAAAGTTCATTTGGTTTTAAATAAAGTACTGGTTTACTTCTGACATCGAATGTGATTGATGTTTCCACTTCAAACTCATAAAGAATTTATTCGCTTGCAAGAAATTATTTTGATTGTACATTTTAAGAGTTTTATGCTTTTATTATTATTCCTGCAGGGAAGCAGGTACAAGGGAAGCTAGAGATATGGCATGATTAAGCAAGTTTCTCAGATCCTAGAGAATTAGTGGTTAAGTCAGAAACAGAACCCCCCATGTCTGTTTCCCTATTTTCACTGCTAGAACCTCTGAATTACCCCCATAACCTTTGATATTTACTTCCAAATACACCTTTGACCTTTCCTAGGGCAAGTAAGTTTGATATTTTAGAGTTCAGTGTTTATGACTCTTTAGTCAGGAGAAATACACCTCTTTGAGAGGAAGGGCACCCATCCAAAAAGAAAAAAGCATGATTATGTTTCTTTACCTAATGAACCATTTCTTGAGAGCCTTGTGACTACAGAGCACTAGTCTAGGTGCAACTGGAGAAGTCAAAAGAACTCAAATAATAGTTCAGTATATAATAATAACAGTTTAGTGTATTTTGAAGTGACTTGTGAGATCATGTCATTCATTCGCCCTCTACTGTTTATTGAGCTAGAGTGACTCACCCAGGATCACACAGCCAGATAGTGACAGAGCCCAGGCCAAAGCCAAGATTTCCTTAATCTGTTGTTGTTGTTAGTTGCCATCCAGTTGGCTTTGACTCACGGTGACATTATGTATAAGAGAAGAAAACATTGCCCATTTCTGCGCCATCTTCATGGTCATTGGGATGGCTCAGTCCATTGTTACTGCTATTGTGTCAGTCTGTCTCATTGAGGGCTTCTCTTATTTTTCCTGACCCTCTACTTTACCAAACATGATGTCGTTTTCTAGAATTTGGTCCTTCCTGATGGTGTGTTCAAAGGAAGCAAATCCACAGCCACCTGTCAGTTTGTCCTACGGTGGTGACTTGTGTGTTACTGTGATTCTGGAATCTATGCCACCAGTATTTCAGATACCAGCAGGGTCACCCAATGGTGGACAGGTTTCAGCAGAGCTTCCAGACTAGACAGACTAGGAAGAAAGGCCTGGCAATCTCCTTCCAAAAATCAGCCAGTGAAAACCCTGTGGAACATGTCTTAGGCTGGGTTCTCTAGAGAAGCAAAACCAGTAAAGAATATAAATATATACAGAGAGATTTATATCAAGGTAATGGCTCACATGATGATAGAGGCTGGAACTTTCCAAGTCCGTGGGTCAGGATAGAGGCCTCTGATACACATAGCTGCAGGGTCTGGCAAACCCAAGACTGGCAGCTGAAAGAGTAGGGCTCTTACTCACAGGCTATGAAGATGGATGAATCCCAAGATTGGCAGGCAAGACTGCAAGTCAGCTGCTAGTTCAAGTCCCAAGAACCAGAGATCAGATGAACAGGAGCCAGCTGCAGGATCCAGAGTGAGCAAAAGCCCACGAACCTTGCCAGAATGTCCACTTATATTAGATGCAGACCACATGCCCAAGGAAACTCCCTTTCAACTGATCAGCTACTCACAGCAGATCCCATCATGGAGGTGATCACATTATATCAAATCTCATCATGGAAGTGATCACATCATACGACTGCCGAACTACATCATAACTGCCAAACCACTGAGAATCATGGCCCAGCTGAGTTGAGACACAACCTTAACCATCACAGAGCACAACAGAACACTGTATGATATAGTGCTGGAATATATGAGCCCCTCAGTTTGGAAGACACTTGAAACAGGACTGGGGAAAAGCTGTCTCTTCAAGGTAGAGTTGAACTTAATGACATAGATGAAGTAAAGCCTTTGGGACCTTCATTTACTGATGTGGCACAACTCAAAATGAGAAGTAACAGCAGCAAAATTCCTTACTCTCATGTGGTAGAAATAGATTTGCTTAGGATCTGGATGACAGTATAAAGGAATTAAACAGAAATTCCAAAGCACAACATCAGACTATAGAAATTAATAAAATGGAGATAGAATATGTAGGTGCTGAGAAGGTATAAAGTAAAAGGTAATGATTGGAGATGGGTAGATTAGGAAAGATGTCCTACCAAGGGTGCATTTCAGTTCTGTTTTGAAAGATATGATGCATATATATATATTTGTAAATCCTAAGTAGCCTTCCTGGAATAAGTCAGTGTCTTAGTTATCTAGTGCTGCGGAAACAGAAATACCACAAGTAGATGGCTCCAACAAAGATAAATTTATTCTCTCACAGTCTAGTAGGCTAGAAGTCCAAATTCAGGCTGCCAGCTCCAGGGGAAGGCTTTCTCCCTCTGTCAGCTCTGGGGGAAGGTCTTTGTCATCAATCTTCCCCTGGTCTAGGAGCTTCTCAGCACAGGGACCCCAAGTCCAAAGGATGCGCTTCTCTCCTGGTTCTTGCTTGGTGGTAATGAGGTCCCTATCCTGTCTGATCAATTCTCTCTTTTTTATCTCAAAAGAGATTGACTCAAAATACAAACTAATCCTGTAGATTGAGTCCTGCCTCATTAACATAACTGCCTCTAATCCTGCCTGATTAACATCATAGAGGTTAGGATTTACAACACATAAGATAATCACATCAGAGTACAAAATGGTGGACAGCCACACAGTTCTGGGAATCATGGCCTAGCCAAGTGACACACATTTTTGGGAGACACAATTCAATCCATAATAGTCTGTATCAAAGGTAAAGGGGAGCACAGATCTCAAATGCAGCTGTAACGAACTTACTTCTGCAAACAAAAGACAACCTTTTCCAGCAGCCCTGCAAATGTGACCTGGTTAGTGAACGTGCGGAGTCCCTGGGTGGTGCAAATGGTTAATGTGCTCAGCTGTTAACTGAAAGGTTGGAGGTTCAAACCCACCCAGAGGTGCCTGGGAAGAAAGTCCTGGCGATCAAGTTCCAAAAAAAAAAATCAGCCATTGAAAACCCTATGGCACAGTTCTACTCTGACACACATGGAATCGCCATGAATCGGAGTCGACTCCACGGCAACTGGTTTGGTTAGTGAATGTGTCAGTCACTTCTTCTCATGGCTCTTGGCCACTGTCATTTGATAACATTTTGCCTGCAGACAAAAGCAAAAAGCTAAATTTATGATTTTTTTCTTTTCTTTTTTTTTTTTCAGACCACTTGTTTCTTTACCTTTGAATACAAACCATTAGTAATACAAAATAAATGAAATCATGAGATTTTATAGTAATATTTAATTTCTTTAGTTTTAAACCATGAGATAAAACTTCCTGATGCTTTAATGTAGATGCAGTTCTCTGAACAAGAAATGCCTCTAATTTAAATAAATATTAACTTTAAACATGCCGCTTTCCTGGTTCAGGCGGTCAGTTCTTATTTGGCCATTGCAGGAGCCTCCTCTTACTTCTCACTGTCTTGAGACATCTTCTCTCCCCCACACGCTCCAGTCTTTCCTTCACTTTCCTGCCAGAGATATGTCTGTAAAACACAGATGTATTCCATTTTTCACAAATTTTTTTTAAGGCAAAAAACCAGTGGTATGCTGGTAACTGTTAAGTA